TTTTTTTTTTTTTTTTTTTTTTTTTCTTTTTAAAATTTAAAATTCGGCTTTAAATTTAATATCTTCTAATATTATAATATTTTTTTTGGACAATATGGGCCCAATCAGTAGAACAAAATTGGCCCAGCTTCCACAATTTCACACTTACCCTAACCAAATCGAACAGAATCAAATTGAAGTTTTTACCGTCTCCTTTTAACCCATTTACTCAAACAACACTGAATTTTGTATTCCAAAAGGGGAACTCATAGGGTTTGTCGACGTTAAGTTACCATCGAACCTAAAATTTGACCGACACCGAAGAAGGGTCAAGTCAAGGAGACAATATTACAAAGTTTAAAAATTTATAGAGAAAAAAAGAGGCATAGGATAAGAAATTGGTAATGTAATTGACATTGTACAATAGGAAAAATGTGGAGGAAACATACTAGAAATGGTACAGACATGTTGTGTGGCGCCAATCAAGAAGACAGGCAATGGAAGACAGCTAACCTTAAACAAGGCAAGTGAGAAGCCATGATAGGTTGGAGGACCATACACACCTTGTTCTGTCTGGAGTTGGAAGATTCTTTTTCTATCTTCAAACTTCCGTCCCCCCGTGAGTTAAATGACCTTTGAAAATACTACTTTTTTCTTTTATAAGCACCGACTAAAGAAAATTGCTGGTCACTAAGTAGGTACTTTGAGTAACCCATATCAGCCTCATTCTTACTATCAAATTGGTTTCTTTTATACGTTCGTGGGTATTTTCAAAATCACTCTCATAACGTGGTCGAGTATCGTGATTTCGTTTTCTTAAAGATCCGTGGATTAAAAATACTTTTCATCAAGATTTTAGTTTTGTTTATTAGACCATGTAACTTAATTATAGAATCTGCTCAGTTTGAGTTAAAATTTGAACATAACTCGTATCATATGGAGGAATGAAATTTGAAACTGTTCATATAAAATCATTTTTTCCAACGGGCCTACGAATAGGCACAACTTTATGGGATATAAATTTGGGCTCAACTTACAGTTAAGAAGGTCCTATATTATAATGGGCCTAAGATCCGAGTTCGTTCGGTTCAAATCACTGGCGGGCTTTCCGTTCTTGCGTTTATACAGATACCGTTAATGGCGAATCTACAAATTCAGAGCAATAGATAACACGACGGACAGAACGAACCACCCTAAGAAGAAGTAACCCACCAATCTCGTCGGTCCTTCGTCTTCCGGTTCCTACACTCATCGCCGATCAAAACAAAGATGGTTTTTACAAGTTTCTTGCGGTTAGATTTGGGGGGAAACGGAAATGGAAATGGAAATGGAGATTACCTTCGGCGGCGGCAATTGAGTTTGAATCTGAGTTATATCGGCCTCGAACGGCCACGTATATTTTTCTGGTTCTCCGATTCTGGACAAGCTCCAATCGTACATTCTTCTCTCTTCAACAGATGACAATATCGTGTAAGATTCCTGTAAATTATACCTCAAAATTACTTACAGGAATAATCCTATCTCAGAAATTAATTTAGGGCATTGTTGTTGTTTTCTACCGACTTTTAGGAGTTCGAGTTTTTGGTTGAGTTCTTCTTCCTCTAATCCCTGGCTCTTTAGTTCTTCAACTTTGATGTTGTACGCAATCGGAACCTGGAACGAATTAGGGCCAACCGTGGTTGGTATGGTGATCGAAGAGTTAGGGTTTCTTTTAGCGATTTGATTGAATTAAATCAAATTACCTGATCATATGGACATCCTCTTCGGAGTCCGAGTCTTCCGTAGTGATTCACGTCTGTAATTGCTGCATTACCAGAACAAATTTTCATAGGAATTTAAGCGAAGTTGAGAAATCTGGAATGGACAGAGAGACTCGGGTTGAAACATTACGAATTCCACGGAGGGCTCGTTCGACGTTGAGAGCCGAAATCAGAGACGACGATCCATCGGAGGCCTTGAGTGAGCTTTCAGGTTCCGGCTCACTCGCCGTGTCCGTTGTGACAGTCTCCGCTGATGAGTCGTTGGAGTTTCTAATGCTGAATTTGAGCGGCTTTGGGAGTGAAGTGATGTAGTTGAAGAATATAGCGGTGGTTTTTGAGGTCGGACAGAGAAAGTTGCTTCGGCGAATGTGGACGACGGTGGTGGAAGTAGTGGACGGTACTGCTGCTGCCGCCGCCATGACGATACTGGTTCTTATCGCTCTTCCGGTGACGGTTTGGTGTTGTTGCTTCGCCTGAGAGATAAGAGGATGTTTTTCCACCAAACGAATGCTATCGCAAACATATTTGCATTCTTATGAGCATATAGATTTATGGGGACATCAATTATTTAATTTCTATTTTTAATTTTGTAGTAAAAGCAGAATAAAACATAAGCTAAAAAAGAAAGAGGGATCCTCGGCTAGGGTTGTTATAAAGGTTATCAGAGTCAGATGTCTGACGGTGTGCCAACGAGGATGCTAGACTCCAAAGACAGGTGGATTGTGAGATCTCTTATCAGTGTAAGGATGTGGAAACCAAACAATATCTACTGATTGTTACCAAACAGTATCATGGTTAAATACGAGACAGAGCGGGCTCTGATTGATGATTGTTACCAAATAGTTTCATAGTCAAATATGAGGTAGAGCGGACTCTGGTAGTCAAATATGAGACAGTGTGCCATTAAAGGTAATCTGATTAAATACTCGTCCCGTAGATTGTGAGATCTCATTCATTTTAACTCCAAATCTTCTAATTAAAAAATACAAAAATAATAAATATAATTATCCCCTAACGTCAAACGAAACGACGTCGTAAAGGACCTGGCCAATTCCCATTCGTCTATTTCCGGCATTCAATTCACTCTCTCCCGATGGGTTTGAGTTCTCTCGGGAGTAGGAATTCGAATCGTTAGCTTCATTCATTCATTCATTCCTTGCTTTGTTTTTGGCCATGGTTTCAGAACTGGAAGCCTCCGTTTCAGGGGACTCAGGTCCTAGCTCAGTTGCAGGTCCCTCCCACTCTCACCATGTCGGTCCTCACCGTTTTCCTCTTGCTGCTCAGCCGGAGATCATGCGAGCTGCAGAGAAGGACGATCAGTACGCCTCTTTTGTTTATGACGCCTGTCGCGACGCTTTCCGCCACCTCTTTGGTCTGCTACGCCGACTCTTGAACCTTTACCTTCTTTGTTTCATTTCCAATTTGATTGTTATGCTTTCTTAGCTCTTGTTCTTCGAATTTGGAATTTCTGGCTTCAATTTTCTGTTTATTCGTCTAGGCTATACTTGCTTTTCTCTTCTTTATTATACTTTCTGATTGTATTGCTAGAGTGTTTCGATGACAACTCCTCTTCTTGCCGTAGGGATAATTCCGCTGTAATTTGTAATTAAGGACTGGCATTTAAGTACATATTCCTATGTTAAAATTAAGGATGAGTTTTCTCTGGTTTTGTTTTGTCCAACCTATATTTTCTCTTCGTTATAGGCGCTCGACTTGCTGTGGCATATCAGAGTGAGGTTAGTTCTTGCTTTGTTTACTTTCCATTTCTAAAATATGTATTTTCGCTTATTAGATTTGAAGGGTTAGACTTGCTGCAATTTGTTCCTATTCTGCACCTTGATGATGCTTAAACAAGGGAAAAGGAGTTGGTGTTAGTAGAGCATGTTCAGCTTCTCTAGTTAAGGCATTATTTAGGTCCCATTATACCTGGCAGTTTTCCTTAATTCATTTCACTGCAGAAGAGCTCAGGAATTATTGGGAACTTTTCTTACATTTACATGATTTTAAAGTAACTTTATTCGGCAGTTTTAGAAGGATATTGAAATCCCATTTTTCCATTGCAGACAAAGCTTCTCGGACAAATGCTGTATTATGTGTTAACAACTGGGTCAGGACAACAAACACTTGGTGAAGAATATTGTGATATCAATCAGGTGGATAAACATTTGATTCGTATAATTATGCGTCGGTATTTGGCATAGCTTATCTCAAGCTAATGGCAAGTAGTTTTTTTTTTTTTTTTTTGTTTAATCTCATTTTTTTCTTCATAGAGATTTTGGTAAACTGTAGCTAACGTTTTCACTTTGTCTTGATTTTTAAGTATGTTCTCCTTAATGTCTCCTGCCGGTGTTTTTTCTTCTTTTTCTTTCTGAAATTCTAAGTTTTGTGCTTTCAATTATTTTCTAGGTTTCTGGACCTTATGGACTTCCTCCAAATCCAGCAAGACGTGCTCTTTTCATTGTGTACCAGACAGCTGTTCCATATATTGCTGAAAGAATAAGGTTTGCAATTACAAATGTCACTGATTTTCAGTTGCAACTTTATTTGGCTTTAGTGATCTCTGATGCAACAAGGTCCACTTGATGAACTTACAATAATTGTTTATTCTCAGCTCTAGAGTTGCTTCTCGTGGTATCATGCTTGCTGATTCTCTGTCTGATGAGTTCTATGGAGATAATGCCTCTTCTCGGTCTTTATTAAACATGGAAATTCAATCTTCTTCAACCCCAGAGTATTCGGGTTCTTACCTAACGAGAGTGAAGGCAAAAATTAATCGATTATGGCTGCAAACAGTGCGATGCTGGCCTTCGGTACTCTTACTTGCATGGAATCTGTAAATTTGAAGCTAGGATATATTAGTTTTGATACCTTGGGGTTGTTGGAGCTTGAATCTAAGATATGAAAATTTTGTGTTTTTGTCAGTTTTGAGTTATATTCTAATGTTTATTTGGATATACATTAACCACATCATTATATCTTGTTCTCTAGAATTTTTTTGTTTAGGACTTGAATCAAAGTTTTAAAGTCCAATATTTAGATATTTACTTATTTATCCTCTTTTAATGGTAATAATCATACTACCTTTATGCCTCACAGATTTTGCCTCTAGTTCGTGAATTTTTGCAATTGGCTCTTCGTACAAACCTCATGTTTTTCTATTTTGAAGGTGATTCCTAGTTGTAGAAATTCAGATACTAATATAAATTTTCATGCAAACAGTTTTGATGAAATTTTATTGGCTAATGTTGTTATTTTAATTTGCAGGACTGTACTATCATATATCCAAACGAGCTGCAGGCATTCGCTATGTGTTCATTGGAAAACCATCTAATCAAAGGCCCAGGTGTTGAACACAAACTGACTTACGTTCTGAAATTTATGTTTCTGACTTTCAAATGGAGTTTTCTTTTGAGTAGTCCAAGTTCATATTGTTACCTATATTTTGTTCACAAAACTAGTTTCCTATCCATAAAAAAAAGCTCATATTAATATCTGAGATATTTTAGTCTTATATAAATGCTTCAATATCAGCAGAAAATTATGAAAATATAAATGTTTTGTTTATATCTTAATTCTCTCTCATTTTTTCCCTTTCACCTTCTTTTAACTGACCATGTTCGTTTGCCGCCATTCCCTACACTGTTGCTTTGCTCTACTTTACTCATTTACTTATTTTTCCATCTCGCCCCTTATCCATAACTTGTCACGTTTATAACTTGTTTAAAAATATGACATTTGGGTTTAGTATCAGACGTTTCAATAATAGATATGTAAAAAATATTCACTCTTCCAATTGACTTTGACCTAGATACCAAATACTTGGAGTGTTTCTACTGATTCAACTTTGTATCATTGCTGCCGAAGGCCTAAGACGTAGTAGTTTATCATCTGTTTCAAGTTCAATTAACCCGACATCCTTTGGAGAAAATCCTAGTTCATCAGGTACCAGGCTCTTAACGTCATGCAATTTATTGTTGGTTTATTTTCCGTGGCATTATTTGCTTCTATTTTTTTTTTTTTTTTTTTTTTTTTTTTTTTTCCCTTTTTTTTTTNGGTTAATGGAGAAATTAACGGTAAAGATCATACAATCTGGTGGACTAAGCCTCAAGAGAGTGTACATTATGAGGGTGGAACCATAAATTTTTGAAAGAGGGACTAAAATAAAAGTGGGAAATCAGAAGGAAATTTTTATGTTTTTAATTTTGTTAATCATATATATATATATATAGATATATATAGATAGATAGATAATTTGAAAGGGCACTTTGTCCTTGTCTTCGCCCTATTTCGTTATTTTTTTAACCCCTTTTGCCTCGTAGAAATATGGCGCCTTCAATTTGTTTATTAAAATTGGGTGTTATGACCTTGAGCTTTGTCTGCATTTAGAAGCTTTAGAAAACCTTTTTCCTGGTTTGATACGGGAAGGGTGTCTTTGGTTTACCTTCTACTTGCACTTCTTCTTTAAAAAAATTCCATACCTTCTTTAAAGTACTACTCTAAATAACAAATTTGTTTAGTTGTGCAATATTCAAAAGTGATTATTTTCTTTACAAATATGTTTTGTAGTTTCACTACACACTTCTGGAGATTTTCAGTCAATCAAAGTCACTGATAAATCCACAATTCCTCGGAAAAGAGTTTTTAAATTGTTCCAATTTATGAATTTTTTTTTAGTAAGTACTTTGGATTATCCAAAATCACACATGAAGCTATAGAATAAGCACTTCAAATTAATAAATTTGTTGAAGATGTTTACTGACAAGTAATTCATTAAAAAAAAAAAAGATATTTCAAACACACTTGACTATTTTCGTGATATTTTGGTAAATTGAAGGTTATATTTTCATGGACATGGGTGTTTGATTGATTGTGTGTACTGTTATTATGATATGGTAGGTCGTGGTCTGCCAATTTTAAATGAGGAAGGCAATCTAATATCTGTTGATGGCGACTCTGGAAATTTGGTTTCTGATCCTTCGCACAGTGAGGTACCATTCCAATTGCACCAACTGACATGGATATTCAATTTCTCTTCATGTGATTGAACAGAAAATTAGAATTAGAGGGCTTTAAATTGGGGCGTTCAATATTATCCAAAGCAACAGAATAAACTCAGAGAAGATATGCTATTATACTTTTTGGTGCAGTCTAATAGAGGTAGTGGAATAAGCAAATGCACGCTGTGTCTGAGTAATCGCCAACACCCAACTGCCACACCTTGTGGCCATGTATTCTGCTGGTAACTTTCTCTTTCCTCCTCAAAATTTCTCTCTCTAGTTTCAATATACATTTATATATGTCTTTGGGTTTGATACAAACAGGAACTGCATAATGGAATGGTGCAATGAAAAACCTGAATGCCCGCTGTGCAGAACTCCCATTAATCATTCAACCTTAGTTTGTCTATATCATTCTGACTTCTGATTCATCCCCCCAACACCCTTTTTTTTTTTTTTTTTTTTT